CTGCTGAAATATAAAACTAAAATGAACTTTATTGTATAATGAGGCAGTTGAACTCTTGTTGAAGACCACCTTGATGACTAAATGAGCCATATATAGTTTAAAAAGTGGAAAGTACTGGTTTTCAAAGAGGGAGCAGGTCCATTTTTTCACATGCTTACCTTTGGAGGAAATGAGGAAACTGTTAAGGGAATAAATATGAGGAGAGCTGGGAAAAGGGTGCAGACACAATTGGGTTTTGCCCCACAAAAGCTCACATTTGTATACTTTCTCAAGTCTGAATTTCTGCAGCCTGCGTGACAGGAAGGGGTAAGGAGCCCACAATGCATTTGGGCACAAGATTGAGTGAGTATAGTGCTGCAACATGCGGGGAAAATAGGATTGGCCATGACCGGCCCGATAGATGAATGAATTAAAATCTAAAGCAGCCGAGAAGGTATTGAATGTGTTTGTGACTGTCTGCCTATTTTTTTTTCTTTTTTGTGCATTTCCTGGGAAAGTCTGATCAGACACAGTAAATAAGTAATGATCTTACTCTCCTTAACAATTACCTTCACGTTGCAGCAGAGCACTGTGATGGTAATTAAATATTTAGCTGCTTCAGTGGAAAGACTAAGTGAGGGTGCTGGTGGTTGCACTAGGTCTCTCTCAGCCAGGTCTAAATTGATGTGGTTGTATGAAATGAGCAACGTGGTCCTTGCAGGAACGCACAACATGCACAATTTCTGCAATTAAGGAAAACGCAAATGGAACTTTTATACATGTTTAAGGCCTGAAATACTCGGGTTTGTCTCCAGTGTTAGAATGTTCTGAATGTCACCAGTCATTTCAGTGGAGGTTATTTGACGTAACATCACAAGAACAAACTTTTGTAGAAGTACAGTATATTAGTAAAAAATGTATATAGTATTAACAAATGTCTTTTATTTTATACAAAATATATAAAATCACCTAAATGCATTTTGACTTGTTCATATTAGCTGACATTTACAAGTCTTAACTTATTTTCGGCAGAATAATGCTGTATTTCCCTGAATAATAAACACATTATAATTAATGAAAAGTGGGTTTCGCTATAGATTTTTATTCAAACAGAATCTATTTAATAACTAGAATACAACAATTCATATTACTCCCATATGCCACTCTAGTGCAATAACATTTAGCGAACTTACGGTTGCTATAAAAAAAAAAATAAAAAAAAAAATAGGCAGGAAATCTAAACTTTGGAAGGTACAGATTTGTAGCATAAATTTTCTTGCTTTCCACCACAGCTGCCAAACTCCAATACAGCCTACTTTCCTGTTCTTTTTACTCTAAACAAACATTACCTTTTTATATCTCCTCAAAGACCTATTTCTGCTTTTTTGTGTTTTTTTTATCTGGCCTAGGTTGTTGCCAGAGATGACGACCAGAGTGCCAACAGCCAGCTAAGCTACATGCTGAGTGGAGGGAATGACGATGGAACGTTCAGTCTGTCGTCTAGTGGTCAGCTGAGCCTGACCCAGACTCTAGACCGAGAAGTTCAGGGCCAATATGTCCTCCTGGTCACGGCCACCGACTCAGGTATGAGAAGGTTTTTTGCTGCACAGGCCTGACTGCGCAGCAGTTTTCTGTGTTTGACATTTTTAAAGTAAAATGTGTATTTTCCTGCTAACCCATCGGTATTATGTTTCTGTTTATAGTGTTCCAAGATGAGATGTTTACATGCACTCCTACCACATTCAATTTATCATCCCTGATTTGCTCTATCTGTGTAATGTGTCTCTCCATGGCCACTGCTGAATCATACCATACCAGAGCTGGAACCATATTGGACTAATGAGTTTGTGAAAACCCAAGCTGAAAGGAATATTTTTTTTATAAACTTACAACAATGTTAACAAACAGTATTTTGATTCCACAGTGGCTCTTTTTGTGTGGTACCATAACATAAACACGCTGGAGTTTTTAGCTTGAAAAATAGTGCCTTTTTTTAATCTAGCAGAAGTCCCATCACCAGCTTTGATTCAAATGCATTCTGTGTTTATTTGGATATGGCGGTAGAGCTTGTTATAGCCAGATAAAAGGTTAACTTGTTATTGCGTAGAAGCCAGTGAATGTGCAGTTAAAGGACTACATGCGTTTCCCCCGTTGCAGCCAAATCACATGGTTTGCCAGTTAAGTATATGTTTCCCCTCCGAGCTGCTCTGGCACGGCTGTCATGGTCGGAGGGTGGTTCAGTTTCATTCCTGGACTGGCCATGTGATCAGTCATAACTGTGTATTTTTGACTGTGCCCAAGCTTTGGTGAGAAATGTGACGCTGTTGTGTTGGATGTAGGTGACCTGGTGCGTGGATTTTTGGGAGTCGATGAAGTTTATTTTTTCAACAGAAGAATCAAAAGAAAGTGCCGGAGTGTCACACGTTTAGATCACAAACAATTGAATTTGCGACTTCGCAGAATTTCCCCAGTGAAATCTGTCAAGGTTTTCCTGCCTCATATACTGTTTAGAGGTCTGTGCCACATGGACAAAGTTACCCAACATACTAATTAGGATTCAATCCCTTTTTTGTTAGCTTCACGTTAGAGCCCATATTTAGATCTCTGACAACAATTCCAAAATATTTTGACAGGACATTTCAGTACAATGTTGGTGAGAGGCAGGGCTTGGGACCGGCACTATAAACACGGATTCGTGTACCCTAGTGGCTGGCTTGAGGTAGAATATCATAATATCAAAAAACCCATAATCATAGAATGGGCCAAATTGCCCAGCAGCATTTTCTCACATTTTTGAGGCTGAGACAGTGTAGAGAAACAGTTCTCCCAGGCTCTATCTGGAAGGAAACGTCAAAGGTGGATGGGGCAGACATGTCTCGGCGTCTGCTCTCTACCATGACCCATTTTTGACTGCAGACATTCATCCCAACACGTCAGGGAAGCCCTTTATCTTCCCGATACTTTTTTGTTTGTATGTGACACAGGCAGAAAAAAGGAAATGACACGCCAAAGGAAAAAAATATATGATGCACTGTCAAAAACCTCATCGTTTTGGAGTTTCTTTACTCCAAAACTACATGACCTTAGATTAGGCAGATGTGCTGGGATTTTTCCTCTTAACTTTTTCAACCCATTCCCCAAATGCCCTGAATGACTCACAGTCTGACTGTGTGCCTGTATATGAGACTACAGTCATCTATCCTCTAGGAACATATTGAGCATTTTTGGTGTCAGTTAAACTCATCAGTCGTTGCCTCAACAGGGATTCAGGAACTTCTCCATGGTGCTGATTGAAATCTGTCATGAAACTGACGGAAACAAAAGAGGTCACTGGGTACTGAT